CCATTTATAAATCTTCCGCCCAGCCCATAACATAGAAAATTCAATATGCTCCACAGCTTCATCTAGTGGTAGTAATGCTGTGTGAATGGCATTCACACAGATATATGCTTGAAGATTGATAAGCCAGCCTCTTAGTGGTCTGTGCTCCCATTCACGTGGCATACTGAAAAATAAAAAAAAATGTTAAAAACATTTCCTACGTGCAGATAAAAGAACATGGGGTGGGGGGGGAGCACAGGCAGCCTCTTATTATTTGTTAAAATAGATGGTAGTGTGCAGATAAAGGGAAATGGGGAAGAAGGGAGGCAACTTCTATTGGTCAGGATAGATGCTGGCAGTGTGCAGTTAAAGGGAAATGGAGGGGTGACGGGCAACTTTTATTGGTTAGAATAGATGGCAGCATGCAGATAAAAGGTAAATGGGGGGGTTGAGTCATGAGTGAAACATAGAAGCTGCTATTACGGACTTCTGAAAATACTAGTTGCCTGGCTATTATGCATACTTTCTGGCTGGAACACATGGAGTCAGTCACCTGAAACAATTATGCTGATAAGGAGTCCTGACTCTTTGGATCTGTATACTTGTTCTGGGTCAGGGACTGTAAAGGCGTTGAAGCCAAAGGGTCAGCATAACAGCCAGACAAATAGCATTTCTTTACCACTTATTGTGAGGCATGGGAATTCTTAGACCTTTCGGGTTATAGAGCCACCCACAGGAGAAATGGACACTAGCAAAAAAGTATAAGAATTCCCATGTCCCTCAATGGACTCCAAGAAAATAATGTTCCTACTTTTTAGAATGAGCCCAGCAGTAACAACCCTTTTATTTCTTCCATGAAAGATTTACTTTAAAGTTTGGGATAGAGTGTGAAGTGAGAGAGTGTTAGGCTTTTTGGCAGTTTGTGTCCACTTTGGGGATATTTGGCTATACTTCCTGTCTTAAAGTCACCACGAAGTGAGTGTAAATCTCCAGAACAGGCATCCACGTTGGACAATTCCTGTTCTAGCAACTACTGTAATTTATGACTTCCCCATCTCTTTCCTTCTCAGTGCCAACGGCCACCAGGACGAGTAAATCTTCTCAGTGGGGACATGGGCGTTCCAACAATTCCACACTACCGAAAACACTAAAACTTGTGCTTTAGATATACTTGAGGTATATGAAAAGTGGGTGTTAAAAAATACATATGTAGTGACCCCACAAAATAAAAAGCCAGCAAGCCACACGTTAAGTAGATATGCACATTTTATTAAGAAGAATATTTAGAAATCCAAAATTTCACAGAAACCACAAGAATTAAAATGACAGTCAGGCTTTGTTTTCAGAAATATGGTGCAATAATGCAGAAGGGATGTCCAAGTTCATCAATATTCATGGTGGCCCTTTATGGCAGTAAGTAGGGCACCACCCAACATGTGATATCATTTCCTACTTAAAGGGTAACCCCACCCAAGACTGACCATCCAATTTTGGGAGAGCTCGAATGGGTTCAACCCACTCTCAGTACCCAGTCTAGGAAATTGCTCCACTTCTGACAGGAATATCTGGAGAATCCAGGATGGATGTAGATGGAGAAGACATGGGTGGAGTCAGGAACTCTAGTGGTAGACTATCCATTTATCCCACCCAGAAAGTGGAATCCACCCACAAAATGGATTACATGAATCAAATCCCCCACACTGACAGTACACACCTTTCATTTACTCCACCGCCACTCCATTCAGCTGCTGGGAGTGAAGAAAAAAAGCCAGTACTTCCATATACCGCATGTGGGTCACTCCCATGGTGGTTGGCCATGTCCTGGCGATTGGCCCATCGCTGTCATATGAGGATAAGGCCTGTGTAAGCTCCAACTTGAGCGATTCAGTGCTTACATAGACTTCTTTCTTTGCTACCGGTGGCTGAACAGAGCATCAAGAAAGAGAAGGAGGGGGCAGGTATGTACTGCCGGGTAAGGGTCAATAAAATTAACCTGCATACGCAAAGCACAGGTCTACTTTAAGTCTGTACCCCCAAAGGAGATTGAGTTTTATTTGTGCTTGAATGTGACCCAGCCTCCATCGTCTACATACACCGCGGCATGCATCGGTTCGGTGAACGTGGCAGTAAAGGTGTATATGTGTCTGTACAAGCATCTGGATGGGTGGAGGAGCTCATAAAAAGACAGCCTACCAGCCTCGTAATCCAGATACATTCCGATCACTTGGGAGCACTGTTCATGAAGCAATGACTGGGCTTTCGAGTTGTGGGCGGCCATGTACTTTTTGGTGTATTTCCGCAGGCACCATGACTTATCATTATCGCCAATACCGGACGGCTTCCCATCTCGCTCGATGCTGGGATAGGCCAAGCCAATGTCCCATATACCGGTTTTGCTAGTCTCTACTTCCCAGTAGTGCTGTCCCTCTGTATAGGCATTTACACTCAACACCTGGTTGTAGACCACAAATCTCAGCGGTGACCCTGGCCGGCCATGGTTGGTATCAGAGTCAGCCACAGTTTTTAAGTCCGCGGATAGCTCCATCTTGTTGTGAGCTGTGCTGGCGTCCATTAGGAGTGTTGACACATTACCTACATAGACATATTTCTTTACGGAGGTCAGAATATCGACCAGACCAGTGTGTAAGATATTCGAGACCAAACCTTCATTTAGGTCAATGAGGTGGCTTGTTTTGTCCGCTCCTGACACAGTTTCAAAAACATCCCTTGCCAATTTGTGTCCCTGTAGGATGTAAAAGGGATCTTGGTTGTTGCAGATGTCCTGAATATGGTTAATTCTCCGAGTCATCTTATCTGATTTCACTTCCATCTGTTTGATGAGATCAGACACTTGCGATCTTGCCTCTTCGGTCTGCCTGTTGAGCTCACCCAAAATTCTCTTCTTCAGACTGTTCAGTTGTTCTTGGATGTCCTCAAAGAATCCATTGACCCTCTGGGTGATGGAGTCTGCATTCTTCTGCACTTTTTCCAGGTGGTACCTCGTCGTTTGGAGACCCTTTTCCATTTCTGATTTCCCCGACGTTAGAGTTTCCAAAACATGCCTGATTTCCTTTGTTTTCACCTCAGAGACTTCATAGATTGGCTGTACCACGTGTCCCCGATGATCCCCTGTAGCAAAGCATGACACACAGACACAAGATTCGTCCTGAAAACAATAATACTTCAGCATCTTATTGTGGGTGGGACACTGTATGTTTTCAAGAGAAGTTGTAGGGTCGAGTAAGAAGTGGTTAACCGAGTTGTTATGGTGGTTTAAGTGCCTACTGCAAAAATATGTCTCACACTGAAGGCACATCTTAACAGCCGGTTCTACAAAATCACAGTAGGTGCACAAGATCTTGGTCTCCTCTGGGTCTTCCTCCAGATGGGCCATTAGGTAACATTCTACTATGTTACAGAGCTTTCTGTTCTTCTCCGGCTGAGGGCGGTCTGGATACTCTGCCCTGCACTCTGGACAGGTGTAGATACCAGACTGTTCCTGGGCATCCAGTGCAGACTTGATACAATGCTGGCAGAAGTTATGACCACATTGCAGGGATACTGGGTCCATGTACCTTTCCAGACATATGGAACAGCTTAGCTCCTCCCTCAGATCAGTTGCGGTCATCCTGGAAGGATCAAAATGACATGTTTAATTAAAGTATAAAATGTTCTTATTAAAAGGAAAACAGTCACATTTGAAATATGGAGTCTGCCAGAGCTGCCTTAATCAGGGTGGGCCAAAAATATGTATACATTATTAAATCGGATCCTGGCATTTTATTCTTATCCTTTATTTCTTTTACAGGTATTGAGAACAGTATGGCCAAAGGTAGGTACATGGTACTGATCCAGTCAGGTTTACTTCCTTCAACAAAGTTAAGCACCCCCCTACAATCTGTCCCAGACACTTAGGTGCTGGAAATGTCCTCCATCAACATTCCTGGATCCTGTCCCTGGCAACGTGACACACAGTAACACAAATTCTTGCTATCATCATCCTTCATATATGTGAGGAGAACTCCTTCAATTCAGCCACTGTGATGGGCTTCCTCTCAAAAATCTTATTCCTCCTACGTTCTTAAAAAGAAGTCCACAGCTGTCGGGTCAGGTGAGCGTGGTGGCCAATCAATGCAGTCATGTTGCTTGATCCAATGTTGTGGGAAGGTGTTGTCAACAGGGATGCACTGATAAATGTTCACGTCCCCCTCCCCCCCCCCGATTTTTGGGGGTGGTGTTCCTCCTTAAAATTCCTACCAGACCTAAAGGGATTCGCCACTTTACAGGCAGGTTAAGGGGACCCCCCCCAGGCACGATATCTAAAGGAATTTTTCATTTCTATGGTTACCCTTTAAGTGATGTAAAACAAAAACAAAAAAAAAAAACCACACACTGCTCCTTTAAAAACACCCCACCCCCACAGTACCCGGATCCCCATATGCCTTTTTATGGCAAATAACTTGCATATAAGCCCTCTTAAGAGGGGACAATCCTTTTCGAAAGTTCTACCCCCCATTGACTTGCATCAAGTTCAAACTTTTTGTCGAACCAAATTCTGTTCTGCCCATCACTAGTCGCTACGAGCACCCATCTGCACCCTGCAGGTCATCAAATCCAGTAAAGCAGTACATCTTCTGTTACATTTGCCACGCATTCACATTGACTTTGATCGTAAAAATTAAGAGCGAAGCTCAAGGTAATCCTGAAAGCTTGTGTATGCCAGCATCAACATTTACTGGACGGAGTGGGGAAGGTTTAGAATCCCCGCCAGGTTTCTGTTATCTTGTCACAGTTTTTAGCTGTTCTACTTTAGAACACTGAAAAGCCAAAGGTCTGGTTGCTATGGGTTACTGCACCAACAGAGCTCTTTCTAGTTAAAATGAGTTATTACTCAATGCGTCCAGTTTCCAGGGACTGATGCATGTCAGACGTTATGAATTTCCTGTGGTGGTTCCAGGTCATGGACTCAGAACCAAGAGGTCAACAAAACCCCATTCAAGTTCACTCAACATGTATGTGGTATTGACATGTAGGCACTTGTAAAAACCACTAGCGCCCCCCTCCTAGACTGGAACAGACACAAAATATCCCACCCGCAACTACAAAGAAACATGGAGGACACAATTAGGTCCCATGCCTGTGCATATCAAGCTGTCCAAACACACCCAGACCATTCAAAGTAGTGAAGAAAGCCAATCAACTAGCACTTTCACAAGGAGGTCAGCAAAGGCAGCCTCCATCTTCCTCTGCACAGGTTTCCTTTGCATGCTTTCTGTATAGAATGTAAGACATAATGATACAAAGAAGGTCAAACGTACCTTGTATTGTAGGAAATGTCTGCAAACCACCAAAGAGCACCGAATCCCAAAGTTCACAGATGGTAAAAATCACCCAGGGCTCATGGGAAATACTTTTCCTTCCCACAATCCAACCTGTGTTCAGGTGTGCAGCAACCTAGTTTAACCCCTTTGTGACTCCATGGATCAGAAGTACTTGTATTTAGCGCCTTTGTTACAAGTGGTCCTTTAATGAATGAATGCAGCCCACCTGGTATGGTACTCACCTTCATTCTTAATCCAGTGATATACAACCGGGGCGCCATGGAGCCTTAAGGTGGCCATACACTCTACAACCATCGCAAGACCTTAGTCTTGCGATGGTTGTACAGGGATTAAAGAAACAAACGATCTGCCTATCTTGGACAGGCAGATCGCACTCTCGATCATCGCAAGCCCACCCCCCTGAGGGGCGGGCTTCCGATGACCGCAATGCTGAACGGGCAGTGTGCGCGTGCGCACACCGGCCCGTTCGGCATTTGTCTTCCGAGCACCGTTCTAACCAGCCGAGAATCGTACGATTCCCGGCTGGTTTTCGAACATGCTGGTTCGACGGAAGACGTGCGACCGTACAGTAGAAACGGTCGCACGTCTCCGTTCACACTGCTCGATTCTCGTACGATCGCGGGATTTCCCGCGATTCTCGTACGAGAATCGAGCAGTGTATGGGCACCTTTTCTTATGAACGTCTTTAAACAGGTCTCCCATATCCTGATCATGCGTGCATGCATGCAGCTCCATGTATGGGAGGCCATACTCATGCAGAGTGACCCTCTCTGTATGAATAAATAGGGCCACGTCATGTATATGCAGACCAAGGAAGACCCGGTAAGGATATTTTCATGAGTACGGTTCCATGGTGCTCAGCGGGACCGCCTACTGAGTAGCTCTAGATCAGGGGTGGGCAACTGCGGCCCTCCAGCTGTGGTTAAACTACAAACCACAGCATGCCCTGCCTCTAGGGGTCATTCCTGTGGCTATCAGAGACTTGCAATGCATCGTGGGACGTGTAGTTCCACAAGAGCTGGAGGGCCAATTGCCAACCCTGTTTTAGATAGAGGACAAAGGTGAGTATAGGACCAGGTGGACTGTACTCAGCAGTGGGAGCGATGGGCTGCACTTAGCAGGTGGACTGTACTCAGCAGTGGGAGGGATGGGCTGCACTTAGCTGCACTCAGCAGGAGGGGCCTGCATTTGTTAAAGGACAACATGTACCAAACTCACAGTTGTTGTTTTTCTTTTGGGGGGTTAGAACTCTTGTCAGATTTTACTATCATCTGGGGTTCCGTTGGAGAGATATCACATTACTTCCTGTTCTGGGGACACCCAGACAGGAAGTGAGGGGAAATCTGCAGCAGGGAAATAGACAACAAAAAAAGTCTGACAGCGGTTCTAAAGTTCCCCCCACCTTCAGTCCACTAAATGAATATATCTCTCTGCACTCCCTACTGCCCCCTCCCGTGAAGTGAAAGGGGCATTTTTTTTATCCCGCCCCAGCCCCCACACCCCTCCCACCTATCCCCAATCATTTGTGCCTAGACAAGAATGGCAGGGCCCTGCTTTTGCAGATTGACGGGTCTCTCCCCCAGCTGTGCTCTCTGCACAGATGATCTGCAGCACAGTGATGATGTCACCGCTACATTTTACAAGGTAACATCTGGGTTTCCAAAGGCATTTGGCGAACACAAATGAAAAGTTTCTGTGCCCGGAGTTCAGCTTTTGCGCCGAACGTTAAATTTATTACAAGCAGCGCAGGCTTTAATTGGTGCGGCGGCGAGAAGATGAAGACAGCCTCAACTTTCAGAATGACTTATTCATTCACTTTCCTTGTCTGTGAAGTTCTCGTTAGCCTCGCCGACCAACCCCCGCCGAAAACCAAATTGGAACGCAGCCATCCTTACAATCCCGCTAATAACCAGCGTTCACAAAGACCGCGCCGCTCTTCCCTTCCAAGCTGAATCTGACTTGTAGCTGCGCAGCTCATCTGACCCTGTGACCTTCATGTCCCCGAAACGCGCTATTGATTTTCCTGTAAAAAAAAAACAAAAAGCTCAAAACGTCAAGACGGCTTTTGGCAGCAAAATCCTGAAGTCCGGCGAAGTGCTAATATAAGCGGATAAAAATAGCTTTAATGAGACTGAAGCCGCCACGCACACAGATCAAGATTTTATGTCCGATGCTGGAATTATAAAAAAAAGTGCTGGAAGCGAAATCATATCTCCCGACGGATCTGTGCCCCGTGACATGCGTTTTGCGCAGATCTGCAATATTTTAGGTTACTTTTTTTTTCCCCGGAATGCTTTCCAGAAAGGTCTAAAATACAGTTCTATTATTAGCTTTACTGTAATTAAAATGTCACTTTTTATTTTAGCTTGCGCCTAAGTTGTCACATAATTTAAAGCTGAGCTCCGGGCACAAAAACATTGTTTAAATATATTCTTCAATCACTACAAAGGAAATAAATCCGCCTTATGCGCACCAAATGTGAAAGTAGCTGTGACATCATGTGGAGAGACCCAGCAAGCCCCACCCACTACAGGAAACTACAGGAGGGGGCTGAAACAAAACCAGTCACCCTGCACAAGGAGAGAGAGCAGCAGTGACCGGTCTTTATTACAGGAGGGGGCGGAGACAAGACCAGTCACCCTGCACAAGGAGAAAGAGCAGCAGTGACCGGTCTTTATTGCAGGAGGGGGCGGAGAAAAGACTGGCCACCCTGCACAAGGAGAAAGAGCAGGAGTGAGTTGTCTTTATTGTAAGGGGGTGCAACTAGACCAGATGTCAACAAGTAAAGGGGTGCCCTCTTGACCAGGTGTCAGAGAATAAGAGGAAAGAGCAAAGAAGTGGGCACCTTACCAGAGATAGGAGACCACTTGATCAGAATGCCCATTTGAACAAAGGTCAAAGAGTAAAGGGGTGCTCACTTGGCCAGAGGTCAGAGGGTAAGGGGGGTGCCTAAGCATTTGATCGGACCCAAAATATACCATAACCAAACGGATCTCTATATGGTTTGATAAAAAGATCTCCTTCAGGGCTGGAATTGTAATTTTCAGCGGACCAATTACAATTCAGAGCCCTAAAGGAGATCTTTTTATGGAACGAGGAGTAGTTGTTGGCCGGCAATGCACCTGCATTAGACGTGATGATGTCAGCAGTCCTCAGACCACCGAAGCCCAGAGGACAAGAGACTGCAGGGACCGATCGAGCAGCCGGGCAGGACTACTTAATTCGATCCCTTAGACCAAAATGAGCTGTTCATTTTTAAAATGTCCAGAGTTCCTCTTTAATATTG